TTGGCTTTTGCCTTGTGCTGTAGTTTATCCTAATGCTTTTACCTGCCATACCCGACTGTGAGGTTCAGGCAATACTTGCAGGGGGAGAGAATGGGTTCATATGTGCTACTGACATCTATTTCTGTCGAGCCCTAGCATAATGCCACTCCATGAAGCAAAGAGCTTCATTCTGACTGCCTGTAGGAACTTGGTGGCAGAACCTGATGTGCTACTGCTGCATGGCAGTGCAGCTTGTTCTCAAAAGGGCCTGAAGAAGCACAGCACGATCTGAAAGTCATAAACTGTGATTTTCTATGGTTCTGACTCAGTGAAACAAATGTTGGTGGAAAACTCATTTTGTCTTCAGTGGCTGGCATAAATCAAAATTAGTCCGAAAAAAAAATGTGGGAGGGTTAGAGAAGCAAAACTGATCTTGCTTCTTTGAGACAAAAGACAACTTAGAGGTTTAATTTTTGAAATTATGTTTTCAAAAAGTGCTTAATGAAGCATTTTAATGAGAAAACAAACTTCGCATGAGCAGCCTATAAAGAACATTATTTTTGTTGCTCTGGTCCAATTTTGGAGAACATTTTAAAATTGAAAACAAACTTGAAGAAATGGAAGTGTAAACACCACTAAAATGCTTCTCAGAAAGGAATAAAATCACTATTTTTTGTGTGTTCATTATTGATTTTAGAATAATGCTTGAAAATTGTTTATGTCCTCTACTCGGAATGAACTGATGAATAAATTTCCTTTATTAAAAAGATGTAATTACTGCAAATGTTGTTTGACATTAAAGTGTATGCATTTGTCAACAGTTCCATAATTTCACTTGGGAAGTGAGGTTCTATTGCATGCATGAATGGTTGGTGACTCTTTCATGACAACTACAGTAACGGTTTTTCTACTGTTTCCAGAATGATCATATCTCCATCTGTATCAGAGAAGTCTGGAAAAAATAGGAACATAAATAATGAAGGCACTTTTAAAAGTTAAGGCTCTGGAGTCTTAACAGTCGCAGCTGACCTTTCACCTATTTTTTACTTTTGTATAATATTTCTGATTGCATAAAGAGACAAGTCACTGCAAAGAGATCTTGTCTTTCATTGAACCATAAAGACAGCTTCAAGTCATTGTCACTAGAGTAAGAGGGCCATTTTCAGTAAATGGAATTGCATAACTTTATTCTGAAACCAATCAGCTCAGCCTGCAAAGGCATTGAACAGAGCTTGGACTGGATGGTGCATTTGAAACATCTGTGGGGGCATCTGTCAGTTGACTGCAAAACAAATATCATTTTTTCATTCATGCATTATACAGCATAAAATAGCAAAAAGGCAGACTAAAAGCAATGGCCCATACAGTCTAGAAGCATGCAGTACCAAATGCTTAATACACAGATGTGAAACTTTCAGCTTGCAGCTACAAAATAAACTGTCCACCAAAACACCTTTTCTCTAAGTCATGACAGTTAGAGTATGTTTTATGTGCTAGAGCTTGAGGTTTATAGCCTTTTCCCACTTCTTTTGCTACTCCGTAGTGTTTAGTGCTGGAATTCTCATATAACCAAAAGGAAAACATACCAGGCAGACATAACTGTAGTTTTACTGAAGCTTGTGCATCCTTTCAGATTTATACCAGCTGAGCACCCCTAGCCTGATTTCTAGCTCTATATAGCCTTTTTTCCCAAAGTTGCAACGACAAAGGAGCCTTTTAAAGGTGAGTGATCATCTCTGTTTGCATCTGACCACATTATTAATGGCTGAGTCTTCACATCTTTCCTTAGTAATTTGAAAAAAGTAAATCTGGGCTCTAGCCAAAATGACAATCAAGAAGAAGTAAAACACCTAGTAAGAAAAAATTTGTGATGACTACTGAGTTCTAGCTGTGACAGTTCACTGACAACATATTAGTTTTATATCTCTACCCCTTGCACCATCCTTTGTCTTCAAAAATACTCAGCAAACAATTCAGGGGAAGCAATTGACATATTCCCTAATGAGACAAGATAGTGTCCTGTAATGATGATGACAGCAAATTCACTAAGTGAACTGCAGTTTGAGAACTTTGGAAATTGATCAAACTGTGATTCCTTGATTGCTTACTTAATTGCCTGTTACAGTCTCTCTCTTGACCCTCCATATCCCAGTTGCTTTGTCAGCACTTTGGTGACTGTGGGATTCTCTGTTAGCCCTGCAGGTTGTGAATATTTGAAGATAAGATTCTGGTTTGGGGATCTTATTTGATTTGCATTTAATATGTACTTTTGGCCAGCTAGCAAACGGGGAATGTAGAGATCTTCTGGACTCCTACGGTGCTTTCTACATCAGGCTAATACAATCATAGAATAGAATCATAGAATCATTAGGGTTGGAAAGGACCTTAAGATCATCAAGTTGCAACCCCCCTGCCATGGGCAGAGACACCTTACACTAACTCATATCACCCAAGGCCTTGAACACTGCCAGGGTTGGAGCATTCACAACCTCCCTGGGCAACCCATTCCAGTGCCTCACCACCCTAACAGGAAAGAATTTCCTTCTTATATCCAATCTAAACTTCCCCTGTTTAAGTTTTAACCCGTTACCGCTTGTTCTGTCACTACAGTCTCTAATGAAGAGTCCCTCCCCAGCATCCCTATAGGCCCCCTTCAGATACTGGAAGGCTGCTATGAGGTCTCCATGCAGCCTTCTCTTCTCCAGGCTGAACAGCCCCAACTTTCTCAGCCTATCTTCATACGGGAAGTGCTCCAGTCCCCTGATCATCCTCGTGGCCCTCCTCTGGCCTTGTTCCAATAGTTCCATGTCCTTTTTATGTTGAGGACACCAGAACTGCACACAATACTCCAGGTGAGGTCTCACAAGAGCAGAGTAGAGGGGCAGGATCACCTCTTTTGACCTGCTGGTCACACTCCTTTTGATGCAGCCCAGGATATGGTTGGCAAATAACTGTAAAGAAGCAGCTTTCTGAAATCTATTTATTATAGGATGGATACTAATTAAAGCACTGTCTCACCAGGTGCTGAGTACGTTAAGAAGCTTCTTAACTCTGGGAAGTGTAGTACTGTGTATGTTTAGCACTTAGTGATGTTCTGCCTGCTGAAGATGTCTGGTCAGAAGAGAAATGTACAAAGGAAGAGCATATTTTGGTGAATGGTACAAGTGATTTATTGGTGAGACTCTATTACATTTGTAGCCAGTTTAGGATCAGAGCTCCTAGAACTGTGATTCCATTTTGTTGGCAGAAGTGAAGAAATGTCCAAATTCTATTAATACCTGAGTGGCGAAATATCTCATAGCATTCTTCAGAATAGTAATCAGAAAAGGCTACTTCAAGCTTACTATTTAAGCCTTTCTGTAATTTATTTATTTTTTTTTTTTTAGAGAAGCTATTTTTAAGGAATGAGGGGCAAGGAGGAATGTGAGTCCCTGTGCACACAGGAATAGAAATGAGGAACTATTGCTGCTAGTGCAGAGCAATTGCTGCCTGCTGCAGGAGAGGCTAGGACTGCGTTTCAGAAGTGATGAGGAAGTGCTCTTCCTGCACTAAGTCTGCAAATGTCCTTCCAGATGAAAAACACTGAGAGCTTTGCATTTGTATTGATATAACAGATATGCCTTATCAAGTTTAACTGTGTTGCTCTTCTGCCCGAAGAGTTGAGGGGGCCTGGAAAAAAAGATTTGCAGTGGCTAACACATGTATTATTCACAAGTTCCCCTATCTCCCAGCCTGTGTAAGTCCTGTGCTGTAGAGTGTTCTATGAATGTGCCAATAGTATCTAAATAGTATCTCTTAAAATTAGGGGGTAAGAAAAGATAAATTTGACCTCATAGTAGCCAAAGATGATGTCCAAATATATTTCTGTATGTTCTGCTATTATGGGCACTGAAAAGCTTATTTGAAGATTAGGGATAGTTCTGTTTGCTTGCATTTCAGTTACTGTATGTTCCACATAATGCTGTCTCATAGGGAGAAAAAAGGAAGTTTTGATCTATGTGCTAAGTCAATCTGTGGTTTTTACTGTGTTTGCTGCCAATTAGGTGAACAGTCATAAGCTGCTACAAAGAATAACCTTGTCATTACAATCAGGTAAGTGTTTAAGTGGATGGAAAAAGAAATCAATCCTTCTGCAATGGGATTTAAGGTTACTGTTGTTCAAGATCCAGGTCATACATGTGACTTTCTGATATGACCTAACTGCCTCCCTGAGGGAGTTTTCTCTTTGCACCATCTGAAGTGACAGTTATGATATCTTGCCTGAAACAATGCCTAAATTACGAGGAATTATATTGGCCTGTGAGAGTTTTTCCTCCTGTTCTTGCTCTTGGTGACCTGCTGTGCCTGTTTTATTAACCACTTGGATTTCCATGGGCACTAATTTGACAAAAGAACACTGATAAGCAGAGAGAAAGGGTTGTATTAAAATAGTGCTAAAGCATAAAGATGTCACCAAGGATGGAGACTGTATCTGAGCTTGAGCTTTTCTGTTAGGGAACAGTGGCTTTTTTTGCTTGTTTTCATTTGGGTAGTAGATGGTGGTAGGGGCTTATAGCTATTTGTTACCAATATCCTGCAGGGAAGTTGGTTACTTAAAAATAATGTCATCTGTGTTGGCAAGAGTTGAGCACATGCCTGTGTAGAAGATCATGTACACATGTGTATGTACATATGTCTTTGAAATACCATTATGTGGATGCGTATATATATCACTCCGCAACTAGATGGTGGTACATTTGAAAGTTCATATCCATTTACTAAAGTGTTTACATACTTTAATCCAAAATAAGGCCAGTGTGTACATCTTTAAAGCCACAATCAATTAAGTTCAAGGAAGTAGTTAATTACATGCCTAATTTTGAGCATGGGCTTGGGTCCAAATGCAGTAAAATCTTTCACATGCTAATCAGCAGTGAAACAACAGTTTATTGTATGACAATGGTTAAAGCAGTACTCATGTATGAAACATATCTGAATGTTTTCTCCTTTTTTGTGATGCAATCACTCTCTCTCTTTTCAAGCTATCTATGAACAATCTTGTGAGGCTTATCGACACCAAGGGAAGACATCAGGTTTCTTCTACATCGATTCTGATGGAAGTGGACCTCTTGGACCACTCCGTGTTTTTTGCAATATAACAGGTAATGAACTAACCTTGTCTTCAGTGCTTTATGTTGGCTCTAATATGATTGTGAGATCTTCTTACTAGAACAATGATAGGCACAACAATAATACCGCTCAGTAGTGGGGAAAAAGCAGAGAACTGGTAGTCACTGAGGTTCAACTCTGAAATGTTTCTTTAAATAGGATCTAAGTAAAAGTAATTTTTAAACAAAGTTTGAAGGGCTGACCTTGTACTGTTGCTAAGTGGTATTTACAATGCCATTTGCACATTATAAAGGGCACTGCTGATATATTTTTCATAATAGCATCACTTTTAGTGAGAGGTTTATGTTTTTCCACTAAAGGTGCAGAAACCTAGAATTCAAACTTTCTTTTGTAATTGAATGACTTCTCTGCTTAACTAGAACACTAGATCTGAGAATGATTATTAAACTTCTTGCACTGAGCTAGCTGTAAACCCTTCCAGTCTGACATAAGCAGGAGTACCTCCTCTCAAATGAGTATGCTGCTTTTGCTGTCCCAGAGAATAGAAATCTTGATCATGCCGGGTACCTGTATGGAGGGGAAGGCATGATGTTCTTAGAAGGAGGGACATCAAAGGGCAAGTAGTGGAGCAAGAGCCTGGCAAGATGACCTATTGGTTGAGACTTTTTAACCTTACAGATATGTAGTTCTAAAAATAAAAGAAAAAACAAAACCAGACACAAAAGCATGTTTGGCAAACTCCCACTTAAATGAGTCCTATTTTGTATATAGGACTGTCGTGCAAGGCAATGAGAAAAGATTACGTAGCCTGTATTGTGAATTGGGGTAGGTAGTAGAGTGCCCTTTCTGCTTTTTATTTCTTAAATGGAGAGGAAATTTCCTAGACTGTCTCCTGTTTGACATTTTTGGTTCCTATGGCCAGATGCAGATGAAAGAATATTTTATTACCCATTCTAAGCTGCTGATTCTGTTTGAGCTAATTTGCTACATATCACCTTCACACTGAGTCCCAAAAACTAAGGATAGAGGATATATATTCATATTTTATCCTTAATCCCCTTGTACTTAAAGTGTCTCAGATTAACTTTTCATTTTGATATGACTGGGCAACTGTTATATTAATTAAATGCATGCCAGTTAATTATTATGTTTTTTATTCAAGTGTAACAAATATTTAATAAGATGTGCCTCCTTCACTGTGAATGTCGTAAGAATTGAAACAGTTTCACCTTTCTGTCTGAATATCCTTCCTTGATCTCCAGTATGGGAAATGTGCTCATTTTTATTATTTATCATATAAATATGTGTGATCAAAACATTGTCAGTGCTTTTCATCTCTGCTGAAGAAGAAGGATTTTTTACAAACTCCTTGCAGAAAGCATCTGCTTTCCTCAAATAAATTTTATCTGGCAGATATCCAGAATCATATGCCTGAATTTCTCTCTATCTGCAATGAACTTGCTGACTTTCTAATTTTATTTTGGTTACGAGAAAAGTGGAGATGGGGAAAACTGGCATAACCTTCTAGCCTGGAGAACTTTTTTGTATTTCTTCTTTTCCCCTACTTGTCTTATTTGTGGCAGGGGAAGCTTGTTTGTCACAGGCATCTCTATTATTTTTGTTGCATAGAAGAAGGCTGAGACACAGAAAGAAATTAGTATTTTACAGTTGTTCAGAGATTTTGAGGTACAATTGGGTTATGCTTCTGTATCATCTAAATATGGTTTGGGTGCATTAATTAGAAGAGCTTCTTTTCTCTCTGGGAACAGACCTTATTGATATATTAATAAAAACTGTTTACAGTAATAGATTATGTGCAAAGTATGGAAAAAAAAACCTTCATGCTTAAACTTACAAAGTTTAACCGTGACAAGTGCAAGGTCCTACACCTGGGGCAGAGCAATCCCAGGCACAGCTACAAAATGGGCAAAGATATTCAGAGCAGCCCTGCAGAGAAAGACTTGTGGGTGCTGGTTAATGAGAAACTGAACATGAGTTGGCAGTGTGCGCTCACAGCCCGGAAAGCCAACCGTATCCTGGGCTGCACCAAAAGGAGTGTGACCAGCAGGTCGAAGGAGGTGATCCTGCCCCTCTACTCTGCTCTTGTGAGACCTCACCTGGAGTATTGTGTGCAGTTCTGGTGTCCTCAACATAAAAAGGACATGGAACTGTTGGAACAAGGCCAGAGGAGGGCCACGAGGATGATCAGGGGACTGGAGCACCTCCTGTATGAAGATAGGCTGAGAAAGTTGAGTCTGTTCAGCCTGGAGAAGAGAAGGCTGTGTGGAGACCTCATAGCAGCCTTGCAGTATCTGAAGGGGAGCCTATAGGGATGCTGGGGAGGGACTCTTGATTAGGGACTGTAGTGATAGGACAAGGGGTAACGGGTTCAAACTTAACCAGGGGAAGTTTAGATTAGATATAAGGAAGAAGTTCCTTACTGTAAGGTTGGTGAGGCACTGGAATGGGTTGCCCCATGCAATGAATAATTCAACTTGAAACTTACTACCACAGGATATCAAGCGGGGCAATGTAACAGGGGAAAAAAGCAGGCTGGAAAAAGGCGCAGTCTTGTCTGATAGATTCAGAAAGTGCAATTAAACATGGAGGTTTAGTTGCAGTTCCCAGCTCAGGTGGCTGTGAGGCAAAGACTCCTGGGAAATGGGAATGAGTTTCAAGAAAACCTGCTGGTTTTCCTCACTTTCCTGGGTATCTGTTCACACCCCAAGACAGAGGTTGATTTTTGGTGTAAATGAAGCTTTGCTCTTACATTGGCAGTTGTTTTTGTATGCAGTTCAAGAAACAGTAACCTCTTTATGCCCAAAACATGTTCAGGCTGAAGAATTTGGAGATGAAATGGAAAATCCAGGAAATAACATATTTGATGTTTTTAGAAGTAGATCTGCAGTGAGCTAGGAAATACAGTGCTTGAATCTGTGAAGGATGAGTTCATAGAAGGAATCAGAACGTCAGAGATGAGTAGCATCACTGCATTTAGAGAACAATGTTGCTCTTTAATGTTTACTTACATTTGTTTAAATTTCTAATTTTTACCTGTTTAATTGATCCAAGCAGGGATCTCATTTGTAGCTAGTTATTAACCAGGGCAGTTATTAACCAGCTTTCTCACATATTGGTGTCTGCTTATAGGCATCCAATATGTGGATATAGGAAGTGTCCACATTACAAGTTAATTTATTGTCTGTGAACTCAGTGATTTCTCTGCAGCCTGTCAACTTTAACAGTCCACTGCTGAGTAAAAATTTTGAAGAAACCAGAAAATTGTGATTGTATGTGTTGAGGGGGATTTGGACAATCATAGAAAGACAAGGAGGGAGAGAGAAATGAAGGGAAATTTTTCAGAGAGAAAGGAGGAAAAAATTATTATAAACATAAAGCCAGTTTTCAGCATGGTAAGAAATTTAATAGTGAAGTGTCACAGGACTTCTGCAGACACAAAAGTGGATAAATGTATTTATTCGCAGTCTGGAGAAGTGGCTGAAGAAACAAGGTGACAAAAATTTTAGATGACATGCTATTATTGAAGTCGGTCAAGAAGAGGGAAGAGTGTCTGAAGCACTTTAGAAGGATCTTATCTTAAAGGTTATTTATTTCTAGCAAAAGTAAAATATGGTGTTGAAATAGGAGGTTGTCAGGAACAGTAATGTACTTAATTAAGGCATAGAAAGATATCTGTTCAAAGAGAGGCTAGAAGTAAATAATCCACAGCTATTCAGATTGGGAAGACCCAAAGTGAATGAACCTCATTGACATAAGTTATGTTCATTTGCATATTCTTACAATAGGAATAAAGAGGAAGTTCAATGGCAGTGAAAGACAACAAACTAGATTAAAGAAAAAAAAAAAGACAACACCTTATTAACATAATGTTGTTTTCACCTTCTATACCTGTTGTATGCAAAACAAAGTCACTTTCATAGGGAAATTCATCAATTGTAAGAAGCAATGAAGACTCTATGCTGTACATGCATTTGCATGGGGACGTAAACCAGACATATGTGGCCAAACCATGATCATATGTAACTGAATGTTATGAGAGAAACTATGAGGATTTGTGTGGGTCAGTGTAGGGATTAATACTTTGAGATGATTGTGTTCAGTGCCAAGGGAACATAATGAACGTTTCCAGTGGCATCTGCATATGAACGTGAACTACCTTTGCTTTTTTTATCTGGATTCTATGCCCACGCTTTTTTGCATAAAGTACAGAGAGGATGTATCCTGTCATGCTTTGGGGTAATGAACAACCACCAGTGCCAGGAAAGAAATTTTCCCTGTTGGCTGATTGATAATTAGCCCATTTAAATTAATCTTTGCTTCCCACTGAAATGACGGATAACAGTCAATACAGAAAATGGCTAATGGACTATTTGAACCTCTGGTCTGACAGTCTTTCCATCATTGTGAGTGTTATTCTTTAGTTGCTTAGAAATCTATCGATCTGTCTGGAGTACTACTTAAATGCTAATAATCATATTCACTAGTACAAAGTCTATAGACATGCAGTCTACATCCATGTAGTTGTTTTGCTTCCCTGTATGAAAAGTGTTTGTAATCACCTTTCCTCATCTTCTGCCAGGTAAATTTTGCCCTTGATATCTGAAAGATAGTTACACTTTAGTCATTCTGTCACTGTAATTTCCTGATGCTGTTTTACTGTATGCAGACTCTAGGCTATCAAATCAATAATGCTTAGAAATTGCCATGACTAGATCAGTGATTAATTGTATCTTACTGGCTGTTGTCAGCCTCCTGGTTCAGCACCAGAAGAATGGCAGGTCTCCTACAGGCTCCACTTCTTTTCTGCAAGAATCATGCAAATGTCTGAGCCATCACAAGGCATATAAAACAGCAGGAAAGTGATTATGTTGAGTCTCCCAAAATTTACCTTAGATGAAGGAGACTGAGTCAGAGAAGACTACATTGTTGTCAGAAGTGTAGTGAGTGTAAGCACAGTGGAGACATGTCCATTTTACACTAGGAAGTAGTTCAACAACTTCCTCTTCACTTC